CATCCACCTTCAGCACATGCATCCTGACCATTGTCCCCACTGCCATTATCCTGCAGGGTGCTGTGGGTATACTCTGGGTGGCCACTTAGAATTTACTGTATTTGTCTGGGTGTGGTGGCTCATGCTTATAATCCTAGCACTTTGAGAGGCCGAGGCAGGGAGATTACTTGAGGTCAGGAGTTCAAGACCATCCTGGCCAGTGTGGCAAAACCTTATCTCTACTAAAAATACAAAAAAAATTAGCCAGGGGTGGTGCACACCTGTAATCCCAGCTACTCAAGAGACTGAGGCACAGGAATCACTTGAACCCTGCAGACAGGCTGCAGTGAGCTGAGATCACGCCACTGCATTCCAGCATGGGTGACAGCAAGACTGTCTCAATTGTAAAAAAAAAATTATATTATTTAAAAACATCTGAATACCCAAAGGATATTAAAAAAAAAATCACTGCCAGTTTAACAGTCCTCAGTTGGAGGGTTTTTTTTGTTTGTTTGTTTTTGAGACAGTTTCACTCTTGTTGCCCAGGCTGGAGTGCAATGGCGCTATCTCGGCTCACCGCAACCTCTGCCTCCCAAGTTCAAGTGATTCTCCTGCCTCAGCCTCCGAGTAGCTGGGATTACAGGCATGTGCTACCTTGCCCGGCTAATTTTGTATTTTTTGTAGAGAAGGGTTTTCTCCATGTTGGTCAGGCTGGTCTGAAACTCCTAACCTCAGGTGATCCACCTGCCGCGGCCCCCAAAAGTGCTGGGATTACAGGTGTGAGCCACCACAGCCGGCCTCAGTTGGAGTTTTATTTGGCCTCTTTTGATGCCTGGTGGCTTATGTGTGTCCTATACAAAACAAATTGTCTTTTTTCCCCAGACCCCAGAAGTGTGGACAAATGAGTTGTCTTTTTATTATAGTCCACGCTTTCCTTGTGTTCTTCTCCTCTAGGACTTTCTAACATGTAGGACACGTGATTTTGACTTGACTTAAACTCTACAGAAATAAGATTTTCTTTGTAGATGCATTTTTATGGTGAAACTGAAGCAAGTTTTCAGCTTAGCGATCTGTATCAACAGGGAGCTTTGAAGACAGTATCCATGCCTGGACCCCCTCCTGAAGAGCTTGACAGATAGGGGTTGGTTGGGACGGTGAGATTTTTAACAGCAGCCTCCCTACTCCCCAGTAAATGGGGATCGGGGATCGTAAGGCACAGCTGAGGCTGAGACTGCTGTGGAGTAGTCCAGGCCACCTGCGGGAATGTCAGTCGGTGCTGCGTTGAGTGCTGTCTTTCAGGTGGTTGTGTGGGAGACCCGCACTTGCTGTGTGCTACTTTAACTGAGGACTTTTGAGGAAATTCTGTTTGACAATTACTTTAAGGTCCAGTGTGACACCCTCCCTCAGACTCAGTCTCTAGTGACTTTCTGCTGGGAGCGCCTCTACTTATCAAGGATTGGGGGCACTTAGCACTCAATAAACATAACTCGCTTTTTCTTCCTCCACACTTTTTTACGTCCCTTATTTGCCGGGCTTGGCTTTGAGTGAATTTTGGCTTTTTGGGGGGTTGTGGGGGGCTCTCTGATTCATTCAACAGATCTTCACTGAGTGGCAGACGTGTGCAAAGTGCTTGGGATGCCAAAGGCAAGTATGTCGTCTGTATTTAGTGTTGGGACTGACAGTGATTGAGACAACAGATTTTATCTTCACTGATGACAGTGACGATGTCACGAAAGACGTGGGTACTCGCAGAGGGTGGCTGCTGGTGTAGGCAGGATGGTTAGGGACCTGCTTTCTCAGAACTGACTGGGAAGGGTTGGTGGGGACCAGGCCATTTGGGGCCTCACAGATCAGGGCTGATGAGTTTGGCTCCATTTATGCTGACTCAGTTTATTTGAGGGTGGGAGCATTCCTGTTTCTCAGAATTCCCTGTGCCTAACTCCAGGCGTGGCAGATGGTACTTGCTCAGTAAATGTTTATTGAACAAAGAATTAGCCGGGCGCGGTGGCTCACGCCTGTAATCCCAGCACTTTGGGAGGCCGAGACGGGCGGATCACAAGGTCAGGAGATCGAGACCATCCTGGCTAACCCGGTGAAACCCCGTCTCTACTAAAAAATACAAAAAACTAGCCGGGCGAGGTGGCGGGCGCCTGTAGTCCCAGCTACTCGGGAGGCTGAGGCAGGAGAATGGTGTAAACCCGGGAGGCGGAGCTTGCGGTGAGCTGAGATCCGGCCACTGCACTCCAGCCTGGGTGACAGAGCGAGACTCCGTCTCAAAAAAAAAAAAAAAAGAATTGACTGAGAGTGATGGAACACACACAACTGTGGGGCTGGGAGCAGGAGCGCGAGGCCTGTCTCTCAGTGCAGCCTGGACCACTTGCCCCTCTCCTCATCCGCCAGGTGAGACCAGCAGGAGAAAGCCATCTCAGCAGTGGTTGGTGGTTATATTTATGGTTAAATTTTATTTTGAGATGCTCGTAGTTTCACATGCAGTTGTAAGAATACAGAGAGATCCTGTGTCCCCTTCTCCCAGCCGCCCCCTGGGGTAACATCTGGTGAAATTCAGTGCACTCTCAGCACCAGGATGGGGCACTGATACTGCCAGGACACAGAACATCAGGACGGCTCCGTCCCCATGCAAATCCCTCTTGTCGGCCTTTTGTAGTCCCCCCACACACCGCTAATCTGTTCTCCATTTTTGTGATTTTGTATTTCAGGGGTGTTGTGCTCATGGGGTCGTGGAGTGAGTGGTCCTTTGGGGTTGGCTGTTTTCACTCAGTGTGATTCCCTAGAGCGTTATCAGTCCCGCCAGTCAAGTTTCTTTCTTTTGCTGCTGAGTGGTATTTTGCAGCCTGGCTGGCCTGCAGCTTGTTTACCCATTCACCTGTTAAAAGACACCTGGGCTGCTTCTAGATTTTAGTTGTTACAAATAAATGTTGCTGTCGACAGTCCTGGGCAGGTTTTTGTTGAATGTAAGTTCTCATTTCTCTGATATAAATGCCCAAGAGTACAATTTCTGGGTCATACGGTAGTTACATATTCAGCTTTATTAAAAAGCGCCTGTTTTCCAGAGCAACCATACAGTAGTTTGTTTGTTTTTTTTTTTTTTTTTGAGACAGAGCCTCGCTCTGTTGCCCGGGCTGGAGTGCAGTGGCTGGATCTTAGCTCACTGCAAGCTCCACCTCCTGGGTTTACGCCATTCTCCTGCCTCAGCCTCCCGAGTAGCTGGGACTACAGGCGCCCACCATCACGCCCGGCTAGTTTTTTGTTATTTTTTAGTAGAGACGGGAGTTTCACCAGGTTAGCCAGGATGGTCTCTATCTCCTGACCTTGTGATCCGCCCGCCTCGGCCTCCCAAAGTGCTGGGATTACAGGCTTGAGCCACCGCGCCTGGCCAATACTGTAGTTTTTGTTTGCTCTTTTAAATGGCTTGACAATGGAAGAAAGACGCTTCTGCTGGGCCGGGCATAGAAAGCCCATGGAGAGCCGCCCTGTGGGTGGGGAAGGGGGTGTCGGGAGCCCCACTGCTTACCAGGAACCTCACTGAAACTGGGTCTTTCCAGTCCCAAGATTCTCCTTTTTTGCTAAAGGCATCAGAAGAGATGAAAGCATTTCTACCACCCACATTTCCGGGACACTCCTAGCTTTTACTTCAGAGTTGGGAGAGAGGTTTGATTTTCATTGTCATTTAAATCCTGTCGGGTTTTCAGTGGAGCCTGATCTTCAGGGCTCTGGGCGCAGCTGTTGGTCTGGAGATGCAGATCACTCTCTGGTGAACAGAGCCCTCCTCCTGGGGTTAGGGATCTCCTGATTGAGGCATGGATCCAAGGGCTTGTTTCTTTGTTCTCTGATTCCCTGAGCCTCTTCCTTGTGTGTGTGGTGTGTGTGCACTTGTGTGAGCACACCAGGAACTATGACAGCAATCAACGGGTATGACTGGGGGTGGGGAGCAGAGGCAGCATGGCCAGGAATCTATACTCCAGCTACCAAAAGGAAGGAAGTAGCAGCAAAAATAGCCTGGGTGGGGTGGTAGAAAATATTAAGGGGAAAATGAGATGGGTGGGGTTGAAGAAGGAGCTGCTTCAAGAGAAACAGACATACACTGGGTAAGGAATCGCGTGCTGTTGAAACTGACGGTGTGGAAGGAAAGAGGTGGCAGTGGCTGGGCTGTGGTAGAGGAAGCCGATCACCGGTGAGTGAAAAGGGAACTAGGGTACCCATGCATTTGTGTTTTTTATTTAAACTTTGGCTAAGCTTTGCTAGGAGCATTTTGCCTTTTTTTTTTCTCAGACCTTCTACCCCTGTCTTTCTCCCCTAAGTTCTGGGCATGTGGCTTCTCTACCTACCAGGGTAGCCTGTCATTGCTCTAAAGGACAAAATGAAACCCCTGATGGGCAAAATGTCTCCCCTCTTCCCCCAACTTTTGGTCGGCTTTGCTCATCCACCAACAGCTAGGAGCTAGAAGGCTCAGAAGAGCTGGGGTGGGCATGGGAGAGACGAGGAACCCCGGTGGCTGGAAACACAGTTCCTTCCCAGGGTCTCTTCAGCTTGCTGGTAGAACCTCTTAGGCTGCTTATGAAGCCTGAATTGACATCATGCCAACTGCTGATAAGTGGTTCTTTAACTTCCTCTGGAGCAGCAGAAACTTGTTTTGAAAACAATCAAATTCTAAATCTTTACAGCTGTTTACTTCTGCAAGCACAATGGCCGTAGTAAGGAATTCAAGTCACAGCGCAGCCGTGGCAGGGAAGGCTCTGTCTGCATGGAGTCACAGGACAAAGCCTGTCCTGGAAACGTGCTGGAAGGAAGTCGGCCTCATTCTTTGCGACGGGCAGCAGCTCCAAATGAGAAACCAGGGGTTTGGCTCTGGGCCGGTAGCATCTGCCTGGCATGCGGTGCCAGCTGTGGAGACCAGTGAGGCGGCAGCAGCCGCAGTGGGCTCCTGAGGTGTGCGTGGGGACCTCCAGGGGTCTAGGAGCTGATATACTTTTGGTTCTCATCATCTCGTGTGTTCCTTGCAGACGCAGAATGTTCAGCTTAACAAAGAAATGACACTTGCCAGCAACCGGAGCCTGGCAGAAGGAAACCTTCTGTACCAGCCCCAGCTGGACACATTGAAAGCACGCTTGACCCAGAAATACCAGGAACTCCAGGTTCTCTTTGAAGCCTATCAGATAAAGAAGACCAAATTAGGTAACTTTTTAAGGGTGATCACTTGAGAATGAAGAGTTGAGAGAAGGACACATTTCAAGCCATTGCCCTACCGGGAAGGAAATATTACTGAAAAATTTCAGACTAAGGTAGTGACTCTACTGCAGTGAAGAAATGGCTTATGTATATTATTTACATATTTTTAGAAACAGGGTCTTGCTGTCTCAGGCTGGAGTGCAGTGGTGCAACCATGGCTCAGCGCAGCCACTCGACCTCCTGGGCTCAGGTGATCCTCCTGCCTCAGCCTCCTGAGTAGCTGGGACCACAGGTGTGCACTACCCAAGCAGGCTAGTTTCTCATATTTTGTAGAGAGGTCGTCTTGCTATGTTGCCCAAACTGGTCTTGAACTCAAGCCATCCTCCGGCCTTTGCCTCACAAAGCGCAGCTATTACAGACATGAGCCACTGTATTGGACTAGTTTATGTATGGAATATGGAGGGCCCCCGGGCCTGCAGCCTCTCTTTACTTGTGGTTCGAGAGGGCAGGGTGTATAGCAGGACTGCCCCCTCCTCCCAGTGGCCCTGCCTGGTGGCGATGACTGCTGAGGTCAGCCCAGGTCCACACACACCTCCAGGGTTTGCAGCGTGGAGCAGGTGGCAGAAATGTGGGTACTCGGGGCATTTACCAGAAAAGGGGATGGAGATTAGGAGGAAGCCAGCCAGTTTAGCAGTCACCAGTTTAGAAGAGGAGACTTGCCACTTTTTAAATTCAAGACCCCACCTTCTCTAAACAGCATAGAAAAAGCAGTTTTCTGAATTATGATATTCTACAGATGTCTTATGCTGTTTGCCTGTTTGTCTTGTGCTGTTTGTTAATGGTAAAAAAAAATACACATCACTGGAACATTTTATTTTAATGGCATACTTTAATTTGCAGCCATTAGGAGGAGACATCAGAATTAAAGATTGTTGAGCATCCTGAGTGCTTTTGATAGTTACCAAAGGGACATTTAGATAAAGTTGGAGCTGGGTGTGGTGGCATACGCCTGTGGTCCTAGCTACTTGGGAGGCTGAGGAAGGAGGATTGCTTGAGCCTTGGAGGTTGAAGCTGCAGTGAGCCATGATTGCACCTCTGTACTCCTCAGCCTGGGCGACAGAGTGAGACTGTGTCTCCACAGAAGAAATGAAATAAGCCGGGAGTGGTGGTGCTCGCCTATAGTCCCACCTACTCTGAAGGCTGAGACCACAGTGAACTGTGATTGCGTTACTGTACTCCAGCCTGGGTGACGGAGACCCCATCCCTTAAAAGAATTTGGGTTAAAAATCACCTTCTACAGTGAGGTTTACAGGGATGTCTGTCACTACTTGCTATCGTCTTGTCATTTTCTCCATTAACTTCAGTAAAAATTTACAATAACACACCCAAACCAGAGTGATGAAAAGTAAAAAGACCGGCAGTACCAAGTGCTAGTGAAGTGCCATGCATCTGTTGCTGGTAGGAGTGTCCGTGGGTCATTTGGGACTTACAGGTGTGGCCACCACAGCCAGCTCCTTTTTTCATTTCACCTCGGGAAAGTTGTTGGGTAGTACCTACTAACATTAAGAGTGTGTGTGCGCTGCAGTTCAGCGGCTCTGCTCCTGGGTGTATACCCAACAGAAATGGACATTAATGTCTCTCAGAAGGGAGGTACAAGAATGTTGTATCCTTATTACCTTCCTTATGATAAAATTTGGAAACAATCAAAATGTCCGTCTACAGGGTAATGGGCACGTAAAGTCTATTTACACAATGGAACACTGCACAGCATTGAAACGAACTGATTCACAGACCTGAGCAGGGTCTCCGAGACGCGGTGCTGAGTGGAAGAAGCCAGCAGAGTATGGCCTGTACTCTGATTCCAGGATGTGGAGTCAAGACCAGGCGGAGCTCCTCTGTGGTGGTGGAGGCCAGCGTAGGGGTTACCTGGCGGGTGCAGTGGGCCTATGGGCGCCCGGTGGAAACGTTCTGTGTCTGGATCTGGGGGTGGTGGTTGGGGATTAAACACGTGGAAATTTGAGTTACACACTTAAGATGTGTATACTTGATGTAAGTTACCACTCAAAACATGAAATACAAAATGGCATGATGACAATGTCACTGCCCCATATTTGAAAACAGCTGGCTCTAGAAGCAGCTCATGACACAGGTTGCTCTGACATGGGATGTTGGCCCCTGGGCACTGGCTTGGTGCACTTGTTGGGGCAAGCCTTTCACATTCAGCTTCTTGGAAAGGAAGGTGCGATTCTGTCATGGTCTGTGTGGACGGCATCATGAAGGGCTTTACCTGTACGCCTGTCACTCTTGTCATGCCTCTTGCTTCTTTTCCAGACAGACAGTCTAGCAGTGCTTCCTTGGAGACCCTGTTAGCACTTCTTCAAGCAGAAGGGGCCAAGATTGAGGAAGACACTGAGGTAAAGCCAACCAGCCTTGGTGGAATCCTTGGGGCACTTTGGGCAGTCAGCGGGCCCGCTGCCTCCAGGGAGCGTGAGCACCACACCGCCACGGTCAGGAGGTGGTGCCTCCCAGGTGTGCAGGCTGTATGCCAGCAGGCAGCCTGGCCTGTGTGCTGGGGAAAGTGCCAGGCAGGGGTCCAGGGAACAGCAGGGTGAGTGAGGGCAGGTCCGAGGGAGGGCCAAGAGAGGGCATGTGGGCCACTCTGAGAACACCAGCCCCTGGGGCCAGTGGTGAATTACCACGTGCCGTGGTTCAAGGGCCAGCTGGGGGCTACAGAGCTCCTGGGACACATCCAGCTGCGCATTAGAGCCTTGAGCCTCGCCAGGCGATTAGGAAATGAGTCAAGGTCGAATGTTGCAGTTGTCGCAGGCAGGGGCTGGCAGGGTCCTGCCAAGACAGGGCTGGGTTCGATGAACTCTGAAGCCTTGGGGGGCCCCAGTGGGCACAGGCGTTTCTGTCCTGCTGATCCACCCAGGACGAGTCTGTTAGTCAGGGTGTGGCCGGGTGGAAGCAAGGAGGTGTTGGACTCCAGTGGGCTCGAGAGAGTCCTGGGACCCAGGAGTCAGAGCCCTCACCCAAAGGCCAGCTCCTCTGCCTGTCACGCTGGTGGTGGGGTGCGCAGCAGGACTGCCCTCCTCTCTGCCCAGTGGCTCTGCCTGGTGGCAGCTCATGCTGAAGCCTGAGTCCACAACCTCTGGGATCTGGAGCCGGAGCAGGGCCCTCTCCACAGGGAGGAGCAGTGTTGGAAGCAGCTGGGCATTGCCTCTCCTTGTGCCTAGATCACGAAGGGAGCATCCTCCCCATCTGGCTGTCCCTGTAACCAGGTTTCTGCCTCTTTCAGAACATGGCAGAGAAGTTTCTGGATGGAGAACTTCCTCTGGATTCCTTCATTGACGTCTATCAGAGCAAACGGAAACTGGCCCACATGCGACGGGTGAAAATCGAGAAGCTCCAGGAGATGGTGCTGAAGGGGCAGAGACTCCCGCAGGCCCTGGCCCCGCTGCCCCCCAGGCTGCCCGAACTGGCACCTACCGCCCCCCTTCCCTACCCTGCCCCAGAGGCCAGTGGGCCCCCCACCGTTGCACCTCGGCGCATCCCCCCACCACCACCCCCAGTGCCTGCAGGACGCTTAGCCACCCCGTTTACTGCGGCCATGAGCTCGGGACAGGCCGTGCAGTACCCAGGATTACAGTGCCCGCCCCTGCCCCCCCGCGTGGGCCTCGCCACTCAGCAAGGATTCTCTTCACAGTTCATGTCCCCGTATCCGCCGGCTCTCCCCCAGAGACCCCCGCCCCGGCTCCCTCCGCACCAGCCGGGTTTCATCCTCCAGTGAGCGCCGGCGCGGCCCTTCCCGGGAGACTCCTTCCGCCTGCTGTGTTGTGCTCCGCACGTGGGAGGGAGGCTGGAGGTCCACTCTGTGCCAAGGGCTCTGGGGCCCTAGGCCAGCGTGTCTGTCTGATTTTAGAACTGTAGGTCAGTGGTGAGTAGTAGAAGCCCAGGCTTTGGGCAACGAGGCAGTTGTGTGTGCCGGGTTGCAGCCTGACACCTGTGCGTCGCATTGGTTTGCATTCTCCGTGTGATTTCTAAGTATCTTAGCGTTGATGAACTCGTATTTGAGAAGAAACAAGGCCTCTCCCCCATTCCCATTTAGAATTTTGGTCCTTCCATTGCGGTTTTATTTAATGAGCATGGTTCATAATACTTATTTTATTTTCGAAAGTCCTATGTGTCTCACCCACCGGCCACTACAGCCCTGGTGAGGGCAGGTGGGCGCTGGCCGGCCTGGAAGAGCGCCGTGGCCGGCCACCACCTGCGGCTGCGTTGTTGCTCACTGAACCTGCTGGGGAGAGGTCGTCATAGTCCCCGCCTGACCTGGGGAGAGGTCATCGTAGTCCCCGCCTGACCTGGCTGCTGCTCTTGCTTCAGAGCCACAAGCAAAGTTTGCACTGGGCCCACTGCCGAGTCCAGAGGCCGGAGAACGGCCGCCGGTGTGGGAGGGGACTGCACGAGCGGGACTTGCACAGCAAATTGTGTCCCCAGCTCCTCCTCTCCCTCCTGCCTCGAGCCGGCCCTGAAGGTTTCTATGAAGAAATAATCCCCCAATATTTTTACTATGTGTGTGATTTTCCTGTTTTATATTGAAAACACCTTTTTGACACTCCCAAGACCATTCAGGGAAATTTTTTTTAAAATGCAGATACTGTCTTGAGCAGATTGAAATGCTGATGAAGTGGATGTGATTTCCTTCCGTGCAAGCAGTGCACGGTCCCACCCTCGGGTGTCCGTGCTGTGCCTTAGCTTCCCCAGGTGCCAGGACTTACACCTGCTAGGGGCTGGGCAGGGCCCCGGCTGTGCTCTCTCTGAAGGGCTTGTCCAAGTTCATTGCCCTGTTACAGGTGGTCACGACGTCCGGCCACCTTGACCTAGGCTACCCTTCGCCAATGTCCTCTGCCCCTGGCTGGCTGGTGGCTCAGGGTCGGCAGCGTTAGGGGTCTGGTGGAAGCCCACCCCATGGGATTGAGGGACAGGCTGCACTCCGACCGCCTGCACCTGCTCTTCCTCCGCCCCCGTGCGACCTCATCTTCACGTGCCATGTGTGCTGAGGCCCAGGGCCCAGCAGGGGGCAGTGGCACCTGTTGACAGAAAAGGCCCAGGTGCTCACCGGTGGACCTTCTGGCCCGCCTCTCCCCTGTCACTTGTCAGGCATCCAGGGCCCTGACCTGTGCCTAGCCGCCAGGGTGACAGAAGGCAGAACTGAAGCGGGATCTGTCCCAGTGGGCCACGGACCAGGCCACTGCCTTTTGTCCTCAGTGACTGTACATTCCTGTTCTCGGACTTGAACTCTACTGTAACTGTTTTCTTAAAAGAAATGAAGCTGTACAGGATGATTCACTGCCATGCCAGTCAGGCGGGCTTGCCATGTTCTGTGAATCTCGATTGAGCGGTGCCACCCGCCCCCATACCTCCACCAGCGGCCGCTGTCGGGGATGCCACAGCCTGGCCACGGTCGCAGCCAAACGAGCTCGGCATTGGAGTTGTAAAGGGGCCCCTGACCGGGCTCGCCATCGCTGTTCAGGGCCGTGTACGGTGCTGTGGCTGTAAAGCTGTAGGACCCTTTTTAATAAATAGAGAATTATTACAGGCCTGTCACTTGTTTACTTGGGGATGTGGATGTTCATGATGTCTGGTTCTGAAACATCAGTGATCAAAGTTCCAGCAGGGAAGCTGGCTGGGATGTCTGTTTTTGAAGCTGAAGACAAAAATCTGCCTGTCCAGGGTCCTGGCGCAGGCGGGGCCTCTTACCCTCTTGGTCACCAGAGTCTCATAAACAGCAGTCATGGACAGAGCATGTTCTGTGCGTAAGAGAGCGTGTCTTCAGGATCACAGCCACTGGGTCCAAGTAGGGGACTGAGGGTGACCTCAGGGCTCAGGCTGTGCCTGCTCTCTGTCCATGGGGTTGCCACCGTGTGCTATGTGAAGGGTGAAACTTTGTGGTGGTTTTTAGTGGGAAAACTAGTGGCTCTGATGTTTTGCTTTGGGGACTTGCCAGCAGGTGTTTCAAGAAGGCAGTTGCCTCTGCCCACTTCAAAGCCCAGTGGGTGTTGCTTCCTTCTCTAGGCTGAGAGGAGGGGACCCCGCAAGCCCTGCCTCCTTGCAGAGCTACAGAATTTGTACCCTGTGCCTGCCGCCCCGGCTGAGCTGTGCGCCTGTGTCCCCACCATCCCAGCTGAGCTGTGTATCTGAGTCACAGTGCCCCTGCGAGGGACTTGAGGAACTGAGATGAGAGCAAGCTCATCTGTTGCTGTCTCCTCTAACAGCGGCCATTCCTGGCACATCATTGTCCTATGAGGATGTGAAGGAGAAATTTCTGTGGTTCTTCTGTGAGGAAGAGGGAAGCATTTCCTGAGGAGCCAGTTTGCCTTAAAGAAAAGGTGTCTGATAGTTTGTCTTCCCAGTGACTGCCAGGAAGCTTATAGCCAAATCTGTTGTCCACTTCAGTGAGGCTGCTGGACTTCACAGAGTCTTGCCTCTCCTCCCGCTGTGTGCGCCGTTCACAAGGAGGACCAGGGAGAGGCAGTGACAGGTCCAAGAGGGTGGAGAAGCAGGAGCAGACCCCAAGCTCCTGCTTTCTAGCCCCACACGAGGCAGCCTTTCCAATTAAAGGTTTTGGCCGGGCGCAGTGGCCTGTAATCCCAGCACTTTGGGAGACTGAGGGGGGCAGATCACTTGAGATCAGGAGTTCGAGACCAGCCTGGCCAACATGGCAAAGCCTCATCTCTACTAAAAATACAAAAATTAGGCATGGTGGTGCACACCTGTAATCCCAGCTACTCGGGAGGCTGAGGCAGAGTTTCTTGAACCCGGGAGGAGGTTATAGTGAGCCGAGGCACACCACTGTATTGCCGCCTGGGTGACAGCAAGATTCCATCTCAAAAAGTTTGGTCATTGAGAACTCAAGAATGATCAGTCAAGTGGTGTCAGTGCCTGTGGCTTTTCACTGGTCTGTATCTGGTGGAGAATCAGTTCCATTCGTGTTTTCTGAAGCCATCTTGCCGTGTAAACAAGAGCCAGGCACGGGGGTCTGAGCCTTGTGGTCAGCTTGCAAGGCCTTTCACATCCATGGTCCTAGCCACCTGGCACAAGCACCCTGGCTACGCAGCCCCAGCTGAGGCCCCACTTCACCCTCCAGGAGACCTGGGCACAGGTGAGAGGCTTGTCTGAGGCCATACAGGAGCCAGCCAAGGGGCCTTTTCTCTCCCCTGACCCACCCTGTCCTGTTTCTCCATAAATGCCAGTAATCTTGGAAGGGGGTGGGACAGGGTGAGCTCACCCACCTCAGCCTTCCCTCTGGCATGTGCTCCTGGGTAAAGTGGGTGCTTGTGAGGCTGCCACACACCCAGGGACTGAATGCCCTTCCAGGTTTCCAGTAAGTGCAAAGGCTGTGTGTGGTCATGGCTCAAGTCCAAGCCAGCTGGGAGTCAGGGTCTCCACCTTAGGAACTGTCAGCCATGGTCTCAGACACACTGAGGGGGTCAGCAACTGCTGGGAACCCCAGGGAAGCTGTGGGCATCGAGGCTGGGAGTGGAGGTGGCCTCTGTGGAGGCAGCTGGCTCTTGGCCTCCTGTATAAAAGGAGGGCCCCAAGGCCCATAAATCTCCCAGAGTGGAAGGCAGACACGCACAGCCTGTGACAGCCCTGCTGAGCTTTTCTGCAGTCCTGAGTAGTCTAGCATTAAATGTAGACACGATGGGCTCCCCGTCCCAGCGCCTGGCCAGGGCCTAGACAAGGGAACATGCATCCCTGAAGGAATGAAGAGCCAGGCACAGCCCCTCTGGGGCATCAGTGACAACAGTCAAAGTGCATTTTATTGCCAGCACAACACTTCAACAGGAGGAAATGCTCACACAAAGCCAAGGGGCTGGTTCTGGCTCATTCTTACTGCTCCTGACCTTGGCCAGTATGTGGTAGCCTTTCCGGAGCACAGGGTGAAGGGCTTAAGGGCTGGGGCCTGGGGTGGGGGTGAGGACAGGAGGACATGGCAGCTGCTGGCTCTGTCCTCCCAGCCTGGTCCCACCCCTCCTGCCACTCCCCTCGGGCTCAAGGGACACATATTCGTTCAAATCTGATGGGCAAAGCCAGGGCCTAGCTCGCTCTAGCCGCAGGGTCCCCTCCCTGAGGGCCCTGGTCCAGCAGCTGGATTTCTGGGCTTTTTCTGGCTGAGCTGGAGGGCCTAGGGCCAAGCCCACTCTCCAGAGGGCTGGAAACCACCCCTTCAGGTGGGCAGTGGGGCGCGGCCAGAACGGGGGAATGGAAAACAGGAAATGGGGGTGGTTGCCTATTCCAGCTGGAAATGGAAACTCCAGGCGTGAAGGCAGCGCCTGGGCCGCTGTGTCTCACCTCGCTCCCCAGAAAGCGGCCCCTTCCAGCATCTGACCCCTCCTGGGGGCTCCCATCACGGAGGCCCAAGGGCCAGGCCTGAGGAGTAACGGGCAACATTCCTCCAGCCCACCCAGAGCCTGGTCTGCGGAGGCCACGCAGCTGGAGGGCCTGGTAGAATCGGTGCCCCAGAAGGCCACAGACAGGATGCCTGACCCTCGTCCCATTAGCCAGCACGGACTGTGTGCCTTCCGTCCATCCACAACCTTCAGGAGTCCAGAAGGCAGGGAGCCCCACACTGGCCCCGTTTCCCAGTGTGCTGAATACAAACGTAGGAAGAAGAGCTCGAGCTCGGAATATTAAAAACACGTATTTCCTGAAGAGTTGACGCTCAAGCCTACTGGGTCCTGGCTGCACCCAAAAGTTCCTTCTGAGATAAATAAAGAGACTCACATCCAGAAGCACCACCCACATGGCCCAGGCCCCTGCAGGTTCAGTAAGGACCAGGGGCCTTGAGGACACTGATCAGAACGGTGGGGCGGGAGGCTTGGGCACCAGGTGGAGGGGCAAGGCCCCTCGGTCCTGTCAGGGCAGTCGCAGAGGCCCAGGCCTGTCTACCAGCCGCCCTGCTGGACCCCTGGGGGGCCTAGTAGTTCACAAGTTGAGCTGGGTAGATGCCATCCTTTTTGTCAAGCTGCAGGGGTTAAAGGAGGAGGGGTTAGTGGTCACAGCCAGGCTCCTGGGGCCCTACCTCTCCCTTGAGCAAGCTCCTCCTCCCTGCATGCCGTGTCGCCAGGAGTTTTCAGTGGTCCCTGACTTCCCCAGGGACGTGCACCACATGCCCCTCCGGGGCCGGGCACGGCACCCCCCTCCAGGAACTCCCCCATCCCAGTGCAGATGGCACCTGGTGGTCCTGTCTGGGGGCCATGCTGGGCTTCTGGGCCAGTGGTGGTTTCTTGGTGGTTACACTTCGGGGGGCAGCGCTGGGCTGGCTGGCCGCCTCCTCTCCAGGGCTGCCTGATGCCCCAGCCAGCACGTAGTGCTGCTTCCGCAACTCCCCCAGCCGCATGCGTTCAGCCTCCAGCGTCTTCTCCAGCTCCAGGACACGCACCTGTAGCCACACAACCTGCTCAACCCAGCTCAGACTCCCCAGGGAGCCCTCTCCTGGGTCCAGGTTTCGCCCGAGGGATGAGCTCAGAGGTCACGGAGCAGCCATGGGCGCCTACCTGGGTCTCCATCTCCTGCTTCTTCAGCTTGATGAGGGACAGGCCAGAGAAATCCATGGTGTCTGTGGTCGGAGGACAAGGTGGTGAGCATCTGGGCGCCCACCCCCATTCAGTCTCAGGAGCCAGCAGCCCCCACTTGGCACCTGGCACTCACCTCTGTCCTCAATCTGCTCCTGGCCTGACTTGGTGGAGGCCACGACATTGGCAGCCCTCTCATTGACTGTGCGGGAGCATTCCTGCAGGCGGCTCAGGTGGGGGCTGTGCTTATCAGCCTTCACCTAAGGGGCGAGGGGTCAGGGTGGGCCCAGGTCTCCCAGCTCAGGACAGCAGCAGGCCTGGGCTTGGCAGCCACGGCCCAGGCCAAGTTGGGCCCAGAGCCTGGTGTGCCGCTGTCAGCGTGCAAGCTCACCTTGGAGGCCGCCACCAGCTGGGCCGTGCTGGCCGCAATCTCGTGGGAGCAGACGATGAGCTCCTCATACTTGCCCATGTGAAGCACCACCTTGTCAGCCGCCTCCCTGAGGGGCAAGGGCCAGTCAGGGCCAGAGTCTCTGACCCCATGGAAAGCTGGTGCCACTCCACACCCCCTCTACTCTCCGCACCCTGTTGACCCCCAAACTGTTCCAACAGGCAGGAAGCAGCCCCCCGCCCATCCCTACCCAGGGCAACCTACACCAGCTGTGTGGCTCCCCAGCCCACAGCCTTGGAGGCCGAGATGAGGCCTTCGGTCCAGCGCGAGTTCTTGGCGTAAAATTCCTGCTGCGTGGCTGCCCCCTAGTGGCGACGGGAGAACAGGGCAGGACGTGCCAGTCAAGGACACCGAAGTGGAAAGGGGTCCTCAGGGGCCCTTCTCACCTCACTCTGGCAATAAGGTGCATCCCTCAGGCCTCCCTGTGGTAGGGGGTGGGGGGGCCTCATGCCCAGGGTGGCCTGGGCTGGGGGTCAGGTTCCTTGCGGACTGTGCCCTGCTGCCAGCCGGCCCCTCACCCTGCCGCTCTCCACGATCTCCTTCTGTAGGCTAGTGGATGTCATCACCAGG